TGGAGACACTTTTTTATCAAAAGATAGCGCTTGAAATTCTCTACAAAATTATATATGACTAGGCGCAAAAACTGTCTTAGATATATTTGAAAAAAGATGACAAGTAACGACATATAAAAAGCTGTAAAAAATAACGGGTTGGACATAATAAATAACCGCGCTTTGCATCTCATTTTGCTATCACTTACTTCGTCCTATTAGAAAAACAAAATATACGAAAAGATGTAGCGTGAAAAGCTTCACAATCTACATAAGACCGCTCATTTTATAGTCGCACTTTTTGTTTTGAAAATGGACAAAATTTTGAGCGGTCAAATTTCGATCCTGCGAAAATAATATAATTTTTGGTAGAAGATGAATTAGTTTTTCTTTTATTTCCTCTCTTTATAATTTTTCTTGGTAAATTGTAGAGCTTTTCACGCTGCATCTTTTGACATCTTTTGTTTTTCTAATAGGATGAAGTAAGTGATAGAAAAATGAGATGCAAAGCGCGGTCATTCCTTATGTCCAACCCGTTACTTTTTACAGCTTTTTGTTTGTCGTTACTTTTCATCTTTTTTCAAATATATCTAAGACAGTTTTTAGGCCTAGTCATATACAGTTTTGTAGAGAATTTCAAGCGCTATCTTTTGATAAAAAAAAAGTGTTCCCATCATGGGGATAATAGAGTAGAAATTATAAAAATACTAATAGTCTAATTTATTCTGCGCCACCCGTTAGATAGAGACAAAATAAAAAGAGTTACATGTGCTTGCTTTTTATTTATCATGATGTATAATTTTTAAGTTCTTTAATAATATCAAGTATCGTAGTGTTATTGATGAAAAGAAATAAACATTGCTATCGGATAATATTATCAAAGATAAGTTTTAATTAATTTTTGTTTTTACAGACTTGGACGCTTTTTTTTAGGTGGGTGTAAAGATGTACTTTTTACAACATTCGTAAAGATTAAGATTTTCTCATTTTCATTTGTCAAAGGTAAAGATTATCTCTATGTTTATTTTAAAGAAAAGTTAAAAATGATCTTACACAGTTATTTCGCATATAAGCTTCTTTTCTAAAAAAAATATCCTTGGAGAAATATGACAAACATGAGACATTAACAATTATCAACCACTTTTTCTACATTAGAAATGTTTTGCTTATATTTCGATAAAAATTCAATTGTATGCAACTTTAATTAGAATAAACGCTCTATATTTTAGAAAAAAAAAAAAACTCAGACCGAAACTTTTAAAAGCGAATAGAAATATTGAGGAAGTACTGAGATTCTCATTTATTCTGCACGATCAGTTGTATATAAACTATTTTCAAGAATATTATTATCTGCAGTAAACAAAATTTTTCCTTTTTGTCTTTCTTTTAGTATTCAATATAGTTTTATTGTATTTTATTCATAAGAAACCGAAATATGTCTGTGACCGTTACACTTAATCTTATTCAACAAAGTCTTACTATTGTATTGGGAGTTCTTCTTGTTATTGGTGTCTTTGGAAATATATTCAATTGTCTTGTATTTCTTCGAAAACGATTACGTTCTAATGCATGTTCAGTCTTCTTTGCTGCTGCTTCAATTGCTAATATGACCGTTATGATTTATTATATTATTCCAACCATTCATTCAGTTTATAATTCACCACCAGAAAATGAAAATCTTGTTTATTGTAAACTTCGTT